AGCAATTTAATAATATACTATCTGAAGAGGTTTTAATCGCTATAAGTTTCATGGTTTTATGTTTTTTTTATAAATTCTTAATTGCTGAAAATGGTTTCAATACTGCTGCAAACTTACCCTTGCTCTTGTTAAAAGGAAACCCTTAAAAGTTTACATAGTTCGGCTCATTTAAAAAAAGTTATTTGATTTTAGCGTTTAATAAAAACTTAAAGAGTGCAAAAACCTTACACAAAGTTATTTACTTCCTTGCTTTTCATGAAAACATCTCTTGCATCTTCGCCGCCGTAGCTCATTCAACATTATTCCCCATAAAATCGAGACATTAATCAGCGATGCCATTTGGGACTCCATTGTGGACTCCCTGCAGCGCGACAGAATACCTTCACAATCGAGCACCAGGCTGTTAAATATCCAGTGAAATGGTCTAATTAAAAGATATACTGCCGACTTGAGTCGTCGATCCAAAGCCATGGGAAAAACGAGCTGGCCGAGAGACGACGAGCTGCTTGCCTAATCCTCAGCTACTTATGACCCGGCTTGAACGTCTTTCGGTTCGCTTTGACTGGTTTTTAGGGCTTTGTGCTCCCTCAACACGGTTTTATGGCCCTGGGCTCTTGAAATTAGCGCGTCCGCCGTCCAAGGACGAGTCCACCGCCACCAGCCACCAGCCACCTCCTGCCAACACTTCGTCCGGGCTGTCATATTGATTTTTCTCTTTTTTGGCCAAACTCTGTGGGGAAGGACCTGGCATCATAATTGAGGCCACTATCTCCGACGTGCTGCGCTAATTAATTTTTATTGGCTTTAAAGCAAATGCGAATATTTTTTCCCGTTTTTATCTGGCAGATAAATTTATTCGCCGGGCTTTAAGGAAATAAAATTCATTATAGGTTTAGTCAAACTTTTCCTTAAAACGCAGTGATTTATTCTCTGCTCACTGCTCAACATTCCCTTTCACTTGGAAACACAGCGGAAAGTAAAATTGGATTTCGCTCATATCCTTTGCATTTTGGCAACGTGTCAAGGGCAAGTTAAATTTTGTAGTATTCTCTTGTCGGCCGAAAAGCAAAGTGGAAACCTTAAAACTTGGGGACAACTTTTGTAGCAACTTTATAGTTAGATTAAAAGCATTTCCCAGCAAAATGAGAAAGTTCCTCTATCTGTGTAGGTGGATCTGTGTTTGGGTGTGGTAAACAGCCAGAAAGTCGCATTTGCTGGCAGACAAAATGGAAGTGGTGACTGGCTGAAGCAAACCACTGCCGCCGGCAATAAAAATCTATTACGTTTTGCGAGACACAACTTTGATTTTACGAACTGTCAAACTACACAGATAGACACGCAAGAGCCCCGGTTCGCACACAGCTCATACATATGGATGCTTGGATGGCTGGATGGCTGGGATTCTGTTTCTGTATCTGAATTCCGCTGGCGATATAGTGAAATAAAAACCGACGCTTCAAAGTTCGCTGTCAAGCGCAAAACTTATGCAATGGTTTTATGACGCAACGCCAAAGGACATGGAGCATACTCAGCTCCTTGAAGTATGCCATATATAATGTAATAAACATTAGGCACTCCTCGTCGCATATCAGGTTGTAGCCCCAGTGCGCAACATCAAAGGCAAATAGTTGGTGAGAAGTTTGAGCGTGCATAAGTGGGTATACATATTATTCTTTAATAAAAATAAAATTGCTCTGATTAAGTCATTTGGCTTGTAGTTTTAGGTAAAGCTATGTAAATCCCTGTTCTAAGCTAAGCTGCTCTGCATAACCATAAGTTCACACACAAATGCCAAGAGTAAGCTTTTCCGATTCATCTGTTTGTCGAGCTCTTCAAAAGTTGCTTTTATTTTGCACCGCCATTATTAAATGCTTTAACAGGCATAGAACAGACAAATGCTTAAAGTGTGCAACAAATTTTATAAAAGTACAACAAAAAAAAAAGTGGAAACTTTGACGTTGGGGGTATAATTTGTAGGCCATTTGCTGGGATCATGGTTAAAAAGAAAAGTTTTTAATTTGTTCATCATGCCGGCAAAACTGAATTATCATTCAACCCGGAGGTGCTGGTGCCGGATTGCCCTCATAATGGAGGTAGATGGATTTTCCTCAGCTCAGGAGTTCAGTTCGGTAGTCGTAGCCAACTTGTGTACAATTGCACTGCCATCATCATGTGCAGAGAGTGGAAAATCACATGAAATTACCAACTTTAGCGCCCAGTGGGGAAACTTTGCTGGGCGTTTATGTAAAATTTTGAGTTAATTAGTTTGATTTCATGCTTCAAGTGTCGAGCATCCACTACGGATTGCCAATTCCATTTGCCAACTCATTAAAACTTCTCCAAGTTCTGCGATGCCTCGGAATATTGGAAACGCTTTCTGACGACTTGGCCAAATGAATGTCAAAACAGAAAATATTCAATGGCATATCTGCCTCGCAGCCTTTGTCCTTCTGGGGTCCACTTTATATACACAACATGAGTGTCAAAGTCACTAACTGGTTCGCAGAAGTTATCAATTAGTTCCGCCAAGGTTTAATAAACCGTAGGATTTTAATTAAACAAGAACGTTCAACGTTTTTCTGGATAAAAGGGTTCCATTTTCACGATGATTGAATAGTTGAGCTTATTAAAATTGAATATTAATTTTACATAAAACTAATAATTTAACTCGGTCTTCTAAAACAAATTGCTAAGAAAAATGAGAAAAAAGAAAGTCAATGGAAATAACCAGTACTTCAATAGATAAATATTTTGTTAAAAAGAATCTAAATTCATATTTTCGCAACTCCTATGCCAAAATTAAGATTTATAATTGTAATGAATCTCTTGTTACTACCCTCGCTATTTGGATTCATCCTATATGATGGGAACTAAAATACGATGAACATCCATAAAATGAATTTTTTCTCATTTAGCAAGGTTGAAGTATGTAACCTTTTTACAGACCGCCCACAAGCGCATGCAAAACTCAACAACTGAATCAAAGGGAAAAGTACATACATGACAGCAATGAAAATGCAATATGTAACACGTAATTTCATTGCGCCGACAATGACAATGGTAGTGGAAAGCCCCGTGGAGGACGATGATGATGCTGCGGACAAGGAGGAGAATAATTGTGAAACATCATCCGGCGAGGATGGCCGTGTCAATGTCAATGTACAGAGTACAACACGGGAACCGACATGCGGCACTGATTAGTGCGGTTCAGCGACATCAACAATCAATATTAATGCATGTCAGCGCCCAGAAGTGTGTGTGTGCCAGGGAGTGAGCCCTGCGAAGGACATGGCCGTAATTATGAGCCTATCAACGCAATAGTTGGCCCTTGACTGTTAAGAATTCTCGAATTGTCGATTTCCCGATACTGACAGACGCACTGGCGAACGAAGTGTGCGACTTGGGGGGAGGGGGGATGCCTAAGGCACCGCCATTCCTCCATCAACTGCCGCCTGGGAACAATTTGAGCGAAACTCGGCTGGCATCCCCTCGAGCTGACAATAAATATTTTCGCTTTGCTGACAGGCTGAAAATCAATACACACTTTTAGGACAGCACTCGCAGACATTCTCGCAGATACATACACACCAAAGTTGGGTATACATTTTCGTTCGGTATTGCACGCACTGTGGCCGAAAAGCCACCAAATTGCACCCACTCAACCTCAAACAAGCTATGCAAAAACGAAATAAATTTCACTAACGTCACAAGGACACAGACAATGCAGCCGCAAATCGCATTTCAAAACTCTGCCAAAACATTTCGAGAGGAAAACTTTTGAAGAGTCGTCAAGTGGTTAAACATTTTGGATTGCCATTTACTGTAAAATGATGTAGACGTTATTTATGCAGATGCTTATAGTACAAAGACTAATGAATCATTATATAAATTCCAGCAGGAAATGGCTTTCTTTAATTGTGCAAAAACTATGATGGCAATTTATTTATTAAAGCAAGCAGTAGTAATAAATCAAATTATGTAAGATTGACGAAATATTGTAATAAACTTTTAGACAAGAACAAAATTTATATATTTCTCAGAAGTTAATTAAATAAAAGACAAGAAAAGTTCCTAGAGAAGTTACTTCACTTTAGGGACACTTATTTTTCGCTCATTGAAAAAGAAACCATTTGGGGTATGGAAAATCTTACCTAAGAAGTGTCCCAACTGTCAGTCTGCGGTCGGCTGTCGTTTCCTTCCTCCCGACATTTAGCCCCGAAAAACCCAACTCAATTTTCAATCCGATACGACAAAATTGTAAAAAAGGAAAGTAAGGAAAAGTGGGAAACTAGAGGGTCGAGAAATGAAGGCGAACAAAAGGCAAAAGTAATTTCGCCAACACTAAATCTGTGGCATATTATACAGGACACAGGCCAAAGCTGGCTGGCTGGAAGAGAAATCTGATCCACTTAGTTGCCCAGAGAAAGCAATAAATTCTTATGAAAACAGTTGAGAAGCAGCGACACGTCCCTGTGCAAAATGAATTGAACTTTTGGTCAACGTGAAAACAGCACTAGTATTTGGGCCTACAGCCTAGAGCCAGGGGACTGGACAGATGAGCCCCCGAGTTCGGCCAAGAGCAAACATGTTCCCGTGCCTTGTTCGATATTTATGAGTGGGACGCGGGAAAGCTTCGCAGGGGTCAAACAAGAGGCGACCAAAATCAAATAAGCTCGTGCGATAGGCTCTGAATGAAAATAAAGTGCAAGGCATTCTGTGCTTGGGTGTGTGAAGTCCCGCAAGGACACTCGGCCAGCACCGAGCTCATAAATTTCAGGCCAAATTTTCGCCAGTTTCTGGAAAGCTTTAAGACCGAAAGTGGTATAAATGCGACCAACTATAACACACAGGTTGAGACTAGCCAGATTTACACCTGGAAAAAATATTTAATAATAATTTTGAAACTATATATACTTTAATTTTTATTTTTAATCTGTAAATTAAATGGTAAAATTTAATTTCAATCGTAAACCTCGTTTTCAAATTACAACTTTGGCAACTTATTTGTCACTATCTATTTATGCATTTATTTATTAAAATATTTTTTTGAAGTTTTATTCTAATAATAAATCACTTTTCCATTTCACTTTCCAAGGCCAAACTTGGTCAAAACCGTGTTGAAAAGATAGTTTGTGAGGCCTTCAACTAATGCCTTTGAAGAACTCTTTAGTAAGTTCTGCGCATCCTGTTTGACATTGTCAGGAACGGCATCGGAGGCGGACTTAACCATTCCTAAAATGGCCCAAACGCCTCCTTGGGCTGGAACTCCGTCTACGATCACGGTCTTGCTCTTGAAATCATTGACCTGGGTGTTTAACTGAGCTTCCTTGGCGGCATCTGAGGCACCCTGTCCCTTGTATTTATCGAAAATTTCAATGACTTCATAGGCAATTCGCACCTGGGAGTTGACATCGCTGGTTTGCCGACTTTGGAGCTGGAGTTGCTGAAGCCTGTTGCGATCTTGATCAATCATTCCGGCCTTTCCGTTGCCCGTGAGGCAAAACAGCACAGCCAGAACAAAGCTAAAATTTAGAATGAATTATTATATTGAAGTTTAAATGTTGCACCAAGTTTACCTAAGAGGGATAGCAGAATGCATTGTTACTTTCTTCAGTTGATGGACTCTGGTAAACTAAAGCTGTTTACATGAAACGCTTCGCTTTTATAGGCAGCTTAAGATTGAAGAGGAGAATGAAAGCCAAGACATGTAAATCCATTAAAATGATAATGCTTGGATTCTTGAAATTCTAGGTAGTGAAACTGATAATGTGACTTATTTGTTTATTCATACATATGCCAGACGGTTGTAAGAGGTCAGTTCTCGAAAGCAAAGATTGTCAGTTCGTTGAATTGATAAGACCTTGTTTCTGTGAATTCTCAAGTCGTGATCTTAGTAATGAAAATATTGCGCATACGCACGAACTGCGTTTATGGTACTGTGACCATCGATTATGTCTATTTGATTATTGAATCAATAAAAGCTCTTATCAAACAAATTAATATAACTAGTTTAATTAATATTTGTAGCAAAACTATATATATAAATGTAATTTTTCTTGTGTATGTTTATGCTTTGGCAAGGACCTTCGCAGCCGGTAATTGAAATTCAGTGTTTGTGTCACGACACAAAACTTAAACAAAACAGGAGCCCCGCCTGGCAAAAAGTCAGCCCACGAGAAGGACATTAAATTAAGTCTCCTGCCAGGAAGATCAAAGTTTTCCAACCACACTGTTGCGCTCCGCCGACTTTGCATGTGTGTGTTCGTTCGCCTTACACGTGCTTAAGGAGCCCTTTGTTGCTGCAATAAAATGGTGAAAGGCAAAGCCAAAACAGTAAGTCGACATGCAAAAAGGATACACGTTGTAAAAAGCGCATAAACTTTGCCGAAAGTGACAAACAAAGAGGCCAGCCAACACAGCTAAAACAGCCAGCACACACAAGGACACTCTGAAATGGAGGGGAAACTGGAAGGAGTCGGAGTGAAAGTGAGCCAAACAAAAGGTAGGCGAAATTGAAGCCGACTTGATGGGCTGTAAATGGCAAACTTTTCTTTTCGGTTTCCCGGCCTCCATATTTTTTCCCCGTACAGGTGCTAAAACTTTATCAGCATATGCGTGTGGCGAGGGAAACCACTCCAGAGGAGCGAAAGATAGGCCGATTCAGGGAAGCAAGCGTGCTGAAGTGTCTATCTATTGTAGTCCCCAACGTTGTGCCTTATCTTTGCATTTGAATTAGACTTCTGCACATAAACAAACGGAATTGAATTTTCCCAAAACAGTTTCGGGCGGGTGGGTGAAAACTGTTTTTGATGCTTACACTGGGTAAGTATGGAAAATCCCCATCCCATGTTTATCCGTACATACACACTGCTTAATGGAAAGAGCCTTTCCGGAATAGAAAAATAAATTACCAAAAAAAAAAAAGGGATTATTATGGATAATGGATAAAAATATTAAAAACAATTTATAACATAATACTTATCTTAGAGATAAATATTTAAAAATCACTTTAAAGAAACCCGGAAGACCTTAAACAGTTGCCTTGGTTGTACTTAAAGTGCTTTTGTACCTAAAATCAATGTCATATTAGTATTCATTCCAGTTTATCTCTTCTAATGGCATTCAGCCAGAAACTAAAAACTGTCGTTATTTCTTTCAATTTCTTTGCAGGCAAGAAAGTTGGGAACACTTTAAAGCCAGTCTCGGCAAAACTTTCGCCAATGTTCTTGGCTTGCTAGCAAAGAGAAACAAGATTTTGGCCATGTAAATGAAGGTCATGCCAATGAGCAGGCGCCCTGCAGAATGCGTATCCTGTTTTGCCAGTCGACAACCGAGGAGTTTGTGTGCCTGCGGGATATTTCATTTCGGCGAACACAGCTCATCTCAGATCAGTTCAGTTCGGTTTTGTCTGGCTTTCTGGCTTTCCACTTGACAAGGCTAAAATGCTGATTTTATTTTGTGCGCCACATTGTCACATGATAATCAGGACGATATAGGCGTTAATGTAAAAGCCGACACACAACAACGGGATGTGGCCAAGAGCCCTTGTAAGCAATGACTTAGCAAAAGGCAGAAAAAAGAAAACCCCATGCAATAGGAGAACTTTTCCCTGCCTCAGGCTGAATTCCACACAGAAATATAATTAGGAAATGCTGTCTGCTGGTGTTAAGGTCTTGGTTCCTAAGCCTTACCGGGGAAAGATGCGATGCAGAGCTTATGCTGCTAGCAACTTTCCCCTTTGCTTTTGCACTTTTTGAACAAAATTTGCATGTTGTGCCGTCAAATCCTTGTGACCTACTTGGGCAGCCCGCCAAAACCCACAGAATTCTGGCACCATAAATGGTCAAGGAGAAAAACAGTAGCATCTCTATAGTTCTATACTCCTAACAAACGTGATGTTGTCGAAGTATTTAATGCCAGTGCATAACCAGGATTACAGAGAACCAATTTTAGGACAATATTTGTATATACGATGTTCGGCTTGGGATATGGCTATACAGCTTTGGTCAAGATAAGTTCGACTGTATTGTAGGTCACTGCAGTTGACACTTTGATTAGCAGGTGTTAGCTCCGATGTGCTTAGCCGCTGTTATTCAATTTAATTTTGTGCTTCGGGCTCCGGACCGTTGAGTGTTTGTGTTGGTTTGTGTATGTTGATTCTTGGGCGAGCATTTAATTAAACAAATTGCCAGCAGCAGCGTTGACAAGTTCAGTAAACAGGAACGGGAGACGTCGCAGGGAAAGGATCAACTTTACGACACATTCAGAAGTCAAATGCCACAGCTGATGGCGTTGATGAGGCGAGCACACACTAGTGCCCACGCCCACCCACTCGGATGTCCTGTGGCAGCCCAGGATGACCCACAGTCCGCAGAAGGACCCTGTCAGGCGCTTTCGACACTTGCATGGCAATTACTTTCCACTTGCCTTGTTTTGGCCAGACAATCAAAAACTTTCGTCAGGCAAAAACGAGTTTTTCTACAACACCGAAAAAGGCATTTTACACAGAAATAATAATTGCGAAAACTTCCCAAAAAACATTTTCCGGACGTTGCAGCCCAGTTTTCCGGGTGTTGATTGAATTCAACATAAACTTTGTTCGCCAGATTGAGTGAGTAAAGTTGCCGGGTTTCCATTCTTTTTAAATTTTTAAGTGAGCTCTTTCCGTTCTTGTCTGAGTGAATATTTTTCTGTTTTATTACACACAACAATATGAAATATATGCATTTTATGAATATAAAGATGTTCGCTTTTGTTTCTATTGTATATGCATGCACAGGTTGCTCCACTAAAATGGGTGTGAATAATTTAAAAACGAAAGCACAAATGCGATTAAAGTTAATCAAATCCTTATCGCATCTTCCCATAAAGATTGTTTGATTTCAATAAAATATTACAAATGATTAGACAGTCAATTCTTTACAAATTTTATTTGAAATTACATGTTAGAAATTTTACACACAACTATTAACATTTTGGAATTCCATTTTTTTAGTTAATAAACCTAGACAAATTTTAAAAAGTTTATAATTCTTTTGTTGAAGTTTTAGAACCTAGTGAAGACTACCAGGAGAATAAACGACCAAGCTGCGTACCGAGTTCTTGAAAGAATCCAGAACCCAATTCCTTCATAACTGGAGTCAGGATTTTCCCAATGTACTTGCTCGCACCGCCTTGACTCGGAACTCCGTCTATTATCACTTCATCTGTATGCTCCTTTATTAACTTATCGATGTTTGCCCTTTCTTCTGGAGTCAAACTAGGGAGTAAACGTCTATATATGTCAAGCAATTCCTGGGTATTATTGATTTTGGACTGGTCATCCGGAGAGGTTCGCATGATTTCAGCAATTCTACGGCCGTCAGCTTCACGTTCTTCGTTAGTATATCCCAAGCACGAAGGACTTATCAGGAGCAGTGCAAGGCACCTAGTAAAGTTGTAAAAAAGTTGTAGTACTTTAACGTAAAACAAATATTTAAGATTGCTTACATTGAAAAAATTGAGGATTTCATCTTGTAAGTCTTATTGGAACGCTGGAGCAAACCGAACTGATAGTTTTGCATCCAAGTTAGCTGAATTTATAGCCCAGCCCGCGTTGAAATTGATAACAATATTCACAGAATTCCTAATGATGACGTTAGGAAAATGCCTTAGATTTTAATGCAACATTTGCATATATGTATGTACGCGTTGTTTTTGTGTGTATAATTAATTTATGTAATTTCCGTAATTGATTAAGGCTAATCTTAATTATACTTACAGGGGATTGCACCGAAATTCAACTGAAAATAACGCATCTACGTTGCCCTTTCGAACTCATGTTCTGATGAACTTATTATATAATATGCGTTTTCATCTTTTAAAATTACCTTTTAACATTTTCTTTAGAAATACAAAATATATATTTTCAGTAATATAATTTAGTGAATTTCAATAAAAGGTAAGCCAAAAAAAAACAGAAATGGGAAAAAGATAATTTTGGAATTGTGTCAGTATGCATATTAAGGATGTCTTAAACTAAATACCAACTTATTCCACAGACTAGCAATCGCGCAGCGAAGAGAAGATTGGAAATTAAATTATCACGTTGGAATTAACTTCAAAGCCAAATACTGTTTTTTATTTGGTCCTCTCAAAGTCCGTCGAAAACTTTAAGTTCTTTAATTTGAAATAATAATGAAAGTCCATGAAAAGATCATTACAGAAGAACAACTACAGCTTAGCGTTCGCAATTGTTTTTTGACGGTTGAAATTGTGTTCTCTTCATTAATAGCCAAATATCCAATAACTATGGTTTTAAAGTTTAATTTATTAAACTTAATACATAATAAATAAATACATAAGACAGTGTACTACGAAATTTCCTTCTGCTTGGGAAGCATATCATTGCCGACAGCATATACGACCAGTTTACTAGGGTTAAGCTAAAGAGGACTTTAATTGGTTTGCTCTCGACCAAAACCTTAAGCCCCAACGACTTTCTTGGCCTTTCGCTATTGATGCTTAGATGGTGAATTACATGCGTACGTTGGACAAGAATAGCGTAATGGATAACACTATGATCATCATTTTCAGCTACCATGGAATCATTGAGATTTCAATACTGAGATATCCGCACACAAGTCATAATGAAACCAAAAATATTATTGCTAAACAATTTTATTTGAATTTATATGTTGAACATTTCATACACAACTATTAAAGTTTTGGAATTACATATTTTGGTTTAGAAAAATATAACAATTTTAGAAAGTAAACTTGCATATATACCTAATGCAGTTTACCAAGAGAATAAACGAGCAATTTTTGCACCGAGTTCTTGAAAGAATCCAGAAGCCACGTCCTTCGCAACTGGAGTCAAGACTTTTCCAACGTACTTGCTTTTCCGACCGCCTTGACTCGGAACTCCATCGATTAGTATTTCATCGGTATGTTCTTTGATATACCTGTCGATTACATCCCTATCTTCCAGTGTCACTCTAGGATATAAACGTCTATATATGTCAAGTAATTCCTGGGTATTATTGATTTTGGAATCGTCGTCCTGAGAGGTTCGTATAATCTCAGCAACTCTACGGCCGTCAGCATCACGTTCTTCGTCAGTGTATCCCAAGCACAAAGGACTGATAAGGATCAGTGCAAAGCACCTTAGTTTGTAAGAAAAAGTAAAATAATTATAATTTGAACGTAAGTCAAAAATATAGGATTACTTACATTAAAGAAATTGAGGATTTCATCTTGTAGGTCTTATTGGAACGCTGAAACAAACCAAACTGATAATTTTGCATCCAAGTTAGCTGAATTTATAGCCCAGCCCGCGTTGAAATTGATAACGAATTCTCAGAAATCGTAATGATGACGTTAGGTTATAATGCAACCTTTGCATATACTTACGCATTATTTTCCTGTGTATGAGTAGTAAAATAAAATTTGTAAGTGATTAATATAATTGTCAAGAAGTGATTAAAGCTAATCTTAATTTGACTTACATTACATAGCACCACAATTCAACTGAAAGTAATCCAAGTTCTGATGAAGTTATAATTTATTATCTCATAAAATTTGCTGTCAAAATTCCCTTTAAAAATGCAATTGCATTTTTTTGTTTTTAATATAATTAAGTTTATTTTAAATAATGGTAACAAATTCCAAGGGTCGAGCAAACAGGAAAAAAACTGGGAAATTCAAAGTAAAAGTGGGCTTATTATACGTTGGACATTTAATCGTTGCTATTTACATCTTAAGATCTGCAAATGATAGACTTGAAAGCCGAATATTGGATTTTTCTGGGTCCCCTTGGAGTTCATCTCCACAATATTTTTTGTAACAACAGTACACTTCTATTAAAGTCGCAAAGATTACGGAACAACTAACCTCGAGTATTGTCAGTGTAAAAGAATTTGAAAACTATGAGAAAGCTTGAAAGAGGAACATTAAGAAATAAGTACAAAATCCAGGAAGATTATATTACAGAAGAGCAATTGGAGCTCGAAAAATCGACAACAAACACCTCATTTGCTCTAGAACCAGAATCGGTAGTGACATATTTTGTAAATTTTTCTCGACTCACGATAGAATGCAAAGCTAAAAGAGCATTTACCAAAAAAATGGCCAGCCAAATGAGAAGGCTCACAGCGAAATTTCCCTTTGTTTAAGCAAATAGTACATCTACGACTTGGTCGTCCAGGTTAACAAGGTCAAGCGGAGCAGGACTTAAATTGGATTGTTCTCGACCAAAACCTTTAGCCACAACGACTTTTCAATGCGTTTCGCTATGTATGGTTAGATCGTGAATTACATGCGGACGTTGGACAATAATAGCGTAATGGATAGCACCATGATCATGTTCTTAAGATACCATAGTCGAGATTTCATCATTAAGATATCCGCCCACAAGAAAAGTAAATCAAGAAATAAGGTTGCTGCAAATTTTTATTTAAATTTATGTATTGCACTTTTTATACACAATTATTTATAGAATGGAATAACATATTTTGGTTTAGAAAAATATAACAATTTTAGAAAGTGAACTTGCATTTATAGCTAATGCAGTTTACCAAGAGAATAAACGAGCAATTTTTGCACCGAGTTCTTGAAAGAATCCAGAAGCCACGTCCTTCGCAACTGGAGTCAAGACTTTTCCAACGTACTTGCTTTTCCGACCGCCTTGACTCGGAACTCCATCGATTAATATTTCATCGGTATGTTCTTTGATATACCTGTCGATTACATCCCTATCTTCCAGCGTCACTCTAGGATATAAACGTCTATATATGTCAAGTAATTCCTGGGTATTATTGATTTTGGAATCGTCGTCCTGAGAGGTTCGTATAATCTCAGCAACTCTACGGCCGTCAGCTTCAAGCTCCTCGTCAGAATAAGCCAAGCATAAAGGACTTATCAGGAGCAGTGCGCAGCATCTGGTTAAATTGTCAAAATTATACTATAAAGTAAACCAAAAACATAGGATTACTTACAATAGAGAAATTGAGGAATTCATTTTGGTACACTTGATAGGACGCTGGAGAAAACCGAACTGATAGTCTTGCACCCGAGTTGCTGAATTTATAGCCCAGCGGGCAATAAAACTGGCAGTGAAATTCATAGAATGCTTAATGATGACGTTAGGAAATTTCTTAGATTACCTATGTATAAGTAGTCAAATGTAACATGCCAGTAAACAGCAGTGATAAGGTTAAACCTAATAAGATCTACAGCAGCAATTATCGCAATTCAACAGAAATTTAAACGTACGCATACGTAACCCTTTGCACTCCAAGTTCTTGGAACCAAAAATGGAACTGAAATTGCATTTTGTTCGATTTTCCATTTAAACTCTTTTATAAAAACGAGAGTCTGGATTTTCCCCACATGGATATAGAATAAGCTAAATAAGACTATTTATTTTAATTGCCGCCAGAGCTAATTGAAACGTTTAAACTGAAACAACTGCGCACAGATACGGACGGGATATGCTGGGGATACGGCTGACACTTCTGCAGGCTCTGGTGGCAATCACACTGATAATACATTTTTAATAGACTCTCAACCGTTGTCGGCACTTGTGAGCTGGAATTACGCAATCAGGAGGCAGGCGAACAAGGACACGCAGCCAGATGTTTTGTGCAGGTACGCGACAAACTGGCTGCTAGATATAGCTTTTAGCCCGTTTTGAGTTTGTTTTTGGGGGGTTAAAAGCGGCTTAAATCGCGGGCGTACTGAGAGTGCTAATTGCCTAAATCTATCCCACATGGCCCACACAAGCAGACAATTTGTAGACCGGCTCTTTAATTAGCTGGCTAACAGCCTGTCGACTAATTAATGAAAGCTCCAACAACGGCAGTCGTTTCCGGTTGGCAGGTTCAAGTTCACCCGCTGAATTTGTGTCAACAGTATTTACATAATGTAGCCACATTCAGAGAAAAGGCAGAGGATCAAGGATCAACGATCCTCTGCATTTTTAATCAATGGCTTCCACCAATACCACACCATAAAACAGGGAAGGCGCGTGGCATGAATAAATTAAAACGATTTCGGGCCACATTTCTTCTTCTACAAAGATTTATTACAAAGTGAAACTCCCGACGCAGCTAACGATGATGATGATGATGATGATTATGCCCCTTCCCCTGCCCCTTACACTTTTCGATTTTCCGATTTCGGCTGCCGCCAAAGATTGTTGCATATCAAATGGCGCCTAAGTGCTGGGCGTGCGCCTCCAAACAAATCAAATCAGAATCGAAGCGCGGTGCTTTTCGGCTTTTTTCGGCCCCGACTCCATTTATTTAAATTCAATTTTATATTAGCGGCACTCACTTTCGCCTTTATTACCAATGGAATGGCTTACAAAGTGGATTTGGAGGCGCCTATAAAAGAGGGCCAACGAAAAAGTATGAGCCAGAAGCGAAGACGCCTTCGAACTACGGATTTGAGGGCGTTCTCCGAGGGCTTCATCCATTCATGCGGCGAAGGCATCCAAGCAGCTGCCATGGAATTAAACGGCGCCCTTACAAATTTGTTGCATGTGCCACTTCCACTCCAATGTGTCACTCGTCCTTGGTATCAGACATGTGACATCATTGCCTGCCGATTGCTCTAAAAACACTAATAGAGCGTCCTTGGTACGTGACGAAAAAATAAAGTGCAGGAAAAATGGCAAAAGAGCTGGCTAAAAGCTTTTGTGCACTTGTTAATTGGCAGGAGTCCTTAAAGGATGCATCCTTGCATACACTCAATCAGTTTAATTGCAGGGTGGATTAAACTTTCAGGCAGAGAAAAAATGTAGTTTGCGCTTACTAAACATTTACAAGACCCATTGAAATATTAGTCAATATATTTTAAAATAATAGTCTATTAATGCGGTCACAAAAGACTATTTTTTCAATCCTGAAAATGAGAATAAGTTTTTTATATGGCTTACACAAAGTGAAGAGTCAGTTGGCAAAGATTTCGTTTAAAAGGTAAAGCACGTTCAACAAAAACAATAATGACAAAGAACAAAAAAGAAAGGGAACAAAAAGCGAAGCCAAGTTCTTTTCTGTAAAATATGGAAAACACAATATGAAAACACATCAGTAAAGTAAAGCTTGGCATTTACGTTCTTTTACATAAGCTCTGCACGAGAAACTCACTGTATAAGCTTGACCAACAGCAACATTTTTAAATTTCCTTATTTTACCTTTGGTATTTTGCTTTCATCTCTCGTTGCTTACAACTCCCTAAAAAATGAAAGGAAAGAGGATGACTAACTGCCCAAAAGCGTAGTTATATTCAAGCATAACGTGAAACTATTTTCGAGGCCCCTTTGACCCTGGAATTCTATGACTTCGGGCACAACCTTCACATGTGTACATCTGACTTTGCATTACTAAAATTATTTGGCCTAAGAGTCAGACATGACAAGCAGGCCTTGTACGCAATTCCATACCCATTGGGATAATAAAACCAGCCCAAAGGCCAAATTGATGGAGGCCAGACGACCGACAGACAGTCGGAGTGTAGGAAGAAAATCCCAAAGTCAGATGCCTTTTTTGACTTTATCCATCTTAGTTAGAGGCGAAAGAAAGCGAAATCAAAGTGCAATCTCATGCTTAAGAGACTACTGACACAGAAAATCGCGTTAAGGCTTTTGAAAACACGAAAACAGTAAGAGCTTCTTATCTTAAATTATAAACTTTTATTTTTAAAATGTTATGCGACCAATAGTAGAACTAAGTATTGTATTTCTATTCAACTGAATTTATTGATGATTAGATGACAAGGTAAATTTATCTAAAAGTATTCATTTTATTTAAACAGCTAACAAAATAATATTTTTATACTTACAAATTTATACACAAAAGTTCAGTAATTACAAGGACTACACCCTTATATTATATCAAAAAAAATCAAAGTGTAATATTTAAAACCCATTTTCTGGCACATCAAGATCAATCAATATTAATTAAGTAAAATTCTTTTTTTTCTCCCTTTTCCATTTAAGCTGTAAACCGTATTTGCGGATTGACTTTTCGAAAACCTCCTGTACATTTTCCCCACTGACTGATGCTAATAATGTGTTGCACACTTTCGGGAGCACCTGCTTGAAAAGCGTTTTTGCCATTTAATTTGAAATAATTACCGCTGAAAGCTAAGAGCCAACTACAGTATGTGTGTGCCTGCAATTTATACGTGTGCGTACGTGGGCAAATTTGTTGGCCATGTGCGCGTTATGTTGAAATTAATGAGCCAGACCATTGCTCTAGTTCATAGCCACGGCGAAAGAAGCACGAAAAGAGCGAGAAGGATGGATGGATGGTGATGAAGTTACACAGACAAAAGCGGAAACAAGCACAACCAGCAGCTTCCGGCCAATGTAAATAAGGCACTAACCAAAAACCCACTGGCAAAGATATGCATGATTACACACACTGCCACGAACGCCGACACAGACACCGACAGGCACATGAACACTCAGAGGAACATTTTCATATTGTCTTTACATCCTTAAAGAGATCTGGTAGGGAAAAAACATAAGTTTTTAGACATTTTATATAAATTTCCTTTTTTTAAGATATAACGGTTTATATCACCAGAATTCACAAAAATATTAGTGTTATTTGTGTCATTTGGATTGGAAAATATGAACTTGAATTTGAACTCGTATTCAAATTAAAAAAAGTTTATTTTTTTAAGATATATATAAAGAAAATAATCATATTTAATTAAGACAAAGTTGATATAGTTTTTTTTTAGTGCAAGTGGAGCTGGCGCTTCTGACTGAGCCAACTCATTTGCCAGACAACAGAGCTTGATGATATTTTGCGCGAGTCCCTACGATTTTCCCGCAACGACATTTTGTATTTATGACCGCATATACATGCATAATATATGTGTGTGTGTGTGCGGCAGTGGGTATATTAAGCGACAGAGCTGTTGTTGTTTGTTATTAATGGGCCTTTGCCTTTGTTTGTTAAATTGTTAATACCCCCACATTTACGCGCCTGCAACTCAAGTCGCCATTCGCATGCATTTTCCCATCACTGCCGCTTTGCATTATCCTTGCACTTTTAGCTCAGCGCGGTCAACGGCATAATGAGCTCTCTGTTTTATGCATGCCCTTTATTCGCCACTGTTACGCTGGCTGCTTCCTTTGTGCTGTTTAATCCTTTCCCTCTTCGGCATGTTGAAGCGCTTTTCGCGGGGAGTGCGGTTCCTTATTTAAGGATGGGGTTTCTGCTTTTCGACACGAGCCACCACACGAAGGTCTTTTAGACCGGCTTAAATATAATAATTCATATGTAATGTTGGCAGTCTAGACACATTCATACACATAAAAAAAGGTATATACAAATTATTCAAAACAAAACGAATAGCTTAAGTGCTTGTTCCTTGTACAAGCTAATCAGGTTATCATTTGCGTTTGAATTAAAAAGACATAAAACTTTTAAAAACTTATTTTACAAATTCTATAAAAATAACATAGTTAAAAATTAAATCAAATTTAAACATTTTAATAGTTGGAAATATTTTAAACTTTTAAATGGTTTTAATCTACAAATAGTACTGCTTTTATAAAAATGTTGAATAGTGGCTAAGAGTAAAATCGCATGAATATTTACAAAAAATTTGGTACCGAGATCCAATACCTCCAAAAGCTTTGGAAGCACAAGTAAACCGTCGGCAAAGCAGTTTCGCACGGCGTATATTACCATGTTTTCCCACCAACGACCTTGAGGATGGAAAGCTCATCTGCCGAAAGGGGGTGGCAACCCTCTGGTCTGGACGCTCTCCCAGCATCCACTGCGCAGCTGTTGGAACTGTCAGCCGGCTTTTGGATGCTGGCCCACCCCACCAGCGGCCACAAACACATCACCTCCGCAACAGGATAAAAGAAGGCGGATCAAACACTCGCAACTCAGTGGATGTCACATCCTCGCATATAGCGGTTGAGCAATAATTCGGAAAACCCAAGAAACATCAATAAAATAGGGAAACACACAGCGGATTTGCCGCGAAGTGAAGATGTTGAATATTTGCTAGATGCGCAATTTAGTTGTAAACAGTGACAAGTGATTGATATCCAGTGAGGAAATCATT